AAGAGTAACGTTCCGAAACTATAATGAATTGCGCCTCAATGACAAACTCTTGGAGGATGGCACATAAGGCTCATCTGGCCGAAGAACATTACGTAAAGATGTGTCAATCAGTGTGTAAGATGCTTATTATAACCGCGGATGGCTAAGCCTCTCTATTAGTCTGTTAAAATTATTTAAAGGACGTATCTTGGGTATGATTGGTTACGATATTTATGTGCGAGGTAGCAATGCATCTTTTTTAGTGGAAAAATCGCGAATAATTAGCGAAATGAAGAAAAATAAAATAAATGATTTGTTAAAAAAATTTCTTCACTCTGTTTTATTAATATAGTTAAAAAAATAGTGCAAGGTCAAGTGATGGCAACTTGTTTAAAGGCTTTGTCTTGACTAGTAAATTAATTGCTTTTTAGTTTATTTTTAATGTAAACTTGCAACTTATTAGTGAAAGTAAATAAGTGATTAGATAAAGAGATCTCTTCACTCATATTTTTACTATCTTTCAACACATTTAGAAGCAATATCTTTTTGGAATTTAATTTATAATAGCACAAAATGATTTGTGCATGTTTTATAAAATAAAAGGTTTGGGCCAAATATTAAATATTATTAAAACATTGGGGCAAGGGTAAGTGGCAACTTGTTTATATGTTGTTTCTTAACTAGTAGATTAATTTGCCTTTTTATAGTGCTTCAAGCCACTTCTCATCAAAATTTCAAATATATTATCCAATCATAATCATTTATTTATCTAATTTTGATTAGATAAAAAATTTTTTTTATTTTTTTTTATAATTAGAATTTATTTAATATTTACCGGTGGTGAAATTCACCATCATAAAAGTTTTTAGGATTAGGAAGTAGTTTTAGGATAAAGAAAAGTTTTACATAACATAATGTAGATTAGAAATAAGGTCCCGATTTCAGGTTTCAGGGAGCCCTGACCATTTTTACTTAGACTCCCTGACTCTAATTACTTAGTACGTTTTTGAGATATAGCACCCCGGTGAATTTCACCTCTGGTGAGCATTAAAATTCTCCTTATAATAAATACCAATTTTACTATTATTAAGAAGATTTTTTTAAAAAAATTTAACCGGTAAATTTGATAGGCTAATGATAAAGATATCTGTTAATTTTTTAAAAATGTTTTTAAAAATTAAACTTATAATTGTTTTTTTTTTTAAAAAAAAAACTTATTAAATTGATAAGAGGTACCATAGATATGAAATTGTACACTAGTTATCTAGAATTTGACCAAAATGTGATTATACAGTATTACATCTTTAATAAGAAGTTTAAAAAGTAAAAAAGTAAAAATATATTGTAAAAATGTCTAGAATTATGTAATGCTGTGATATGTGCATAATTGACCATTTTTTACATCATATATACTTTGTATAATTAAGCAAAAAAAAAACATAGAAATTCATAAGATTGTGATTAGTAGATAAATGTTTTGAAGTTGCCTGGCATTATGATGATTTGAGTGAAAAATAAATTCTATAAAGTTTCAATATAAATCAATACCTGAAAGATTCTAGAATAAATATATATATATATTACTATAAAATCGCATAAAATTGTATAAACATTTTGCATCCATCACATAATTGACCTCAATTCGTCCTATTGCGTCGCATAATCCTGGACATCCCAGTCCTTAGACTTTCTCTTGTATCCATGGCAAAAATCATGTGACAAATGGCACGCCCCTTAGATAGTTATATTTGATCGGAAGTAATCTTCGAAAAACCAAAACTGATATATTTATTTTCTAAATTAGAATGCGAGATTTGCCCGGGAGTAATCTTCAAGGACTGAAAACCTTTTGTAATTTCTAATTTGATGTTGGTGTTTGCATATATAAAAATGTGCTTTTAAAAAAAATGCACAGAAAACAAACACATATATATATATATATATTTATTTTTAAAATTAGAAAGTGAAATTTAGACTGGAATAATCTTCGAGAAACTGAAAACTTATGTAATATCAAATTTAATGTTGGTGTTAGCCAGTTATTTCGCGAATACGGTATGATCGCTTACTTTACTTGAATAAAAATTATCAAACAATTTCTAATAAAATTTCAAGCGATTTTTTGTTATACTGATTTAGAATTAAATTTCTTCGCTTGGGCAGGCATATATAAAAATGTGCTGTTTTTTTTAAAAAGAAATAACTTTATGCATATATTTATATTTCTAAAATTAGAAAGTGAAAAAGCAATCTTGAAACCTTATGTAATATCAATTTATGGTGTTGAGGCATATATAAAATATGCTGTTTTTTAAAAAAATATAAAAAAATAAAGAAAAAAAAAACCCGTAAAAATGTTTAAAAACCTATCTTTATACATATATTTAAAATTAGAAATTGAGATTTGACCGAGTAATTTTGAGAAACTGAAATCTTTTGTAATATCAAAATTTGGTGTCGGCATAAATAAATAATGTGCTGTTTTTTTTTTTTAAAAAAAAAAAGAAAATTATATATATCTGATAATGAAAGCAGAAATTGATCCCAAAACTGTACCAAGCACTGAACCAGAATTAGTAGAAGAGGCAGTCAACGTTACTAATAACTCATTATCATCTATTATTCCAATATACAGCACTGTCGCCTCTTTAATAAATGGTATATTCAAAATCCATGAGAATGCATAATCCAATAAGAGAATGATCTATAATTAACTGCATTGTACACATCGAAAAAATCATAAAATCCTTGGAATATAAAAGTCAGTCCGATCTGACTCGACTCTAAATTTGTTCCCCGCTCTTCCACTGAGCTATCTGATGTTTTAATGTGGTGGAAAGAAAATGAATTAAGATATCCTTCAGTAGCGGCAATGGCAAGAGATATTCTTGTTGTTCCCATAACATCTGTAGCATCCGAATCTGTAAATAATATTTTGATTAATACAGTCTGACCTCGTTATAATCACCAGGTTGGGAAACAAAAATTTGGTGATTATAAAAAGTTGTGACTAAATAAAGGTCAAATTTTATATGTTTTATAATGGCTAGACCAAAAAAATAGCGTGATTATAACAAGGTAGTGACTATATTGAGAGTGACTATAACGAGGTCAGACTGTA